AGTGTACGTACACTCACCGGCCACTTTACTAGGTACACCTGTCCAACTGCTCATTAACCCATATGTCGAATCAGCCAATCACACGGCAGCAACTCAATGCATTTAGGCATGTAGACATGGCCAAGACGATCTCCTGCAGTTCAAACTGAGCACCAGAATGGGGAAGAAAGGTGATTTAAGTGACTTTGAAAGTGGCATGGTTGTTGGTGCCAAACAGGATGGTCTGAGTATTTCCTAAACTGCTGATCTACTGGGATTTTCACTCACAACCATCTCTACGGTTTACAGAGAATGGTCTGAAAAAGAGAAAATATCCAGTGAGCGGCAGTTCTGTGGGCACAAATGCCTTGTTGATGCCAGAGATCCGAGGAGAATGACCAGACTGAACGGCAACAGTAACTCAAATAACCACTTGTTCCAACCGAGGTCTGCAGAAGAGCATCTCTGAACGCACAACACACCAAACCTTGAGGCAGATGGGCTACAGCAGCAGAAGACCACACCGGGTGCCACTCCTGTCAGCTAAGAACAGGAAACTGAGGCTACAATTCACACAGGCTCATCAAAATTTAACCATAGAAGATTGGAAAAATGTTTCCTGGTCTGATGAGTCTTAATTTCTGCTGCAACATTTGGATGGTAGGGTCAGAATTTGGCATCGACAYCATGACAGCATGGATCCATCCTGCCTTGTATCAATGGTTCAGGCTGGTGGTGGTGCAATGGTGTGGAGGATATTTTCCTGGCACACTTTGGACCCATTATTACCACTTGAGTATCGTTTTAATGCCACAGCCTACCTGAGTATTGTTGCWGACCATGTCCATCCCTTTATGACCACAGTGTACCATCTTCTGATGGCTACTTCCAGCAGGATAAAGCTCCATGTCATAAAGCGTGAATCATCTCAGACTGGTTTCTTGAACATGACAATGAGTTCACTGTACTCAAATGGCCTCCACAGTCAGCAGATCTCAATCCAATAGAGCACCTTTGGGATGTGGTGGAACGGGAGATTCACATTATGGATGCGCAGCCGAAAAGTCTGCAGCATCTGCGTGAAGCTGCCATGTCAATATGGGACCAGACTCTCTGAGGAAAGTAAAAAAAATTAAAAATGCAACTTAAGTAAAGTACAAATTCTCAAAAACTGTACTTAAGTACAGTACTAAAGTAAATTTACTTTGCTACTGCCCACTTCTGTTGAGGAGTACGGGTTGGGCTTACTCTAAGCTGCTTTCACATCAATTTTTAGTACAATTTGTGTCAAATTTACTGAGTCATAGTAATTTTTGTGTTTTGAAAGATTAGGAGATCATGATCTGATGAGACCAATAGGACCACATCATCCGCAAAAAGCAGAGACGCAATCCTAAGGTCACCAAAATGGATCCCCTCAACACCTTGGCTGTGCCTAGAAATTCTGTCCATAAAAGTTGTGAACAGAATCGTTGACAAAAGGCAATGTTGGCGGAGTCCAACTCTCACCGGAAATGAGTCCGACTTACTAACGGCAATGCGAACCAAGCTCTGGCACCGGTCGTAGAGGGACCTAACAGCCGGTATCAATGGGCCTGGTATCCCATACTCCCAGAGTACCCCCAACAGGAGTCCCCGAGGGACACGGTCGAATGCCTTCTCCAAGTCCACAAAAAACATGTAGACTGGTTGGGCGAACTCCCATGCACCCTCCAGAACCCTGCTGAGGGTGTAGAGCTGGTCCGCTGTTCCATGACCAGGACGAAAACCACACTGCTCTTCCTGAATCCGAGATTCGACTATCCGACGGACCCTCCTCTCCAGGACCCCTGAATAGGCCTTACCAGGGAGGCTTAGAAGTCCCCCTTTTTAAATAGGGGGACCACCGGTCTGCCAATCCAGGGTAACTGCCCCTGATGTCCACGCAATATTGTAGAGCCGCATCCACCAACGCAATCACACAACATCCAGTGCCTGAAGGAACTTCGGGCGAATCTCATCCAATCCCAGTGCCTTGCCACCGAGGAGCTTTTTAATCACCTCGGGGACCTCAGCACCACAATTTGGAGAGTTCGACCCAGGGTCCTCAGGCTTTTCTTCCTCATGGGAAGAAATGTCAGTAGGATTAAGGAGCWCTTCAAAGTATTCTGCCCACCTATCCACAACATCCCGAGTTGAGGTCAGCAGCGCACCATCCCCAACATAAATAGTGTTGATGGTGAACTTTCGGCCATAGCTCAGGTAAGCTGCCTCGACAATGGAGGCACGGAACATGGCCCACTCGGACTCAATCTCCCCCACCTCCCCGGGAACCTGTTCAAAGTTCTCCCAGAGGCGTGAGTTGAAGCTCAGTCGGACGGGAGACTCAGCCAGACATTCCCAGCAGACCCTCACTACACGTTTGGGCCTGCCAGGTCTGACCGGCTTCCTCCCCCACCACCGGAGCCAACTCACAACCAGGTAGTGGTCAGTTGACAGCTCTGCCCCTCTCTTCARCTGAGTGTCCAAGACATGCGGCCACAGATAAGATGAGATGACAAGAAAGTCGATCATCGAACTGCGCCCCAGGGTGTCCTGGTGCCAAGAGCACATATGGACACACTTATGCCTGAACATGGTGTTTGTTATGGACAATCCATGKCGAGCACAGAAGTCCAGTAACAAAACACTGCTCGGGGTCAGATTGAGGTTGCTGCTCTTCCCAACCACTGGTGTGTTGTCTCTTGTCGTGTGGCTGTACACCACACACTGTAGGATCAAAACTGGTATATCCATGATTTTTTATCCTCACGTGTGGTGTCTCTCAGACTTTGAAAATCGGCCAACTGTTTTAAAATCTTGTAGTGTGACGCAGCCCTTATCAGCAGGGGCCATTTAAAATTGGATTGACTCCAAAAATTAATCAGGTGTAGATCTAGTGATTTCTTTTTGAATTTTATTGAGTAAATCCAAAATCAACTTCTTTTGCAGATAAACTATCTAAATTCTGCGGGTATTATCTTTATATTTCTGTGCTAATTTTGAAATTCTTGTGTAAATTTGTTTAATTCGGCAGTATTTAGTCTAAAAATATGCTGCCCTCTATGGGTTAAACAGTGGTTACTGCAGTTGAATTTTCCTATTGGTTAAAGCAGTTTATACTTACATCACAGCTCACATGTTCAGGTATAAAAGCCTTTCTCTCAGAGACACACCCTGCAGCYAGGCAGGGGTTAAAAAAGGGAAAACTATGATGAAAGCTTGTTACTGATTTAAACATTAGCCCCTGTTAGCAATGATGCTGATAACATCTAACAATCAGAAACTGGACATGTTCTGTCCTCCTCTGCAGCACCAGCCTCATGGTATCACTGTGTCAGAGCCTTGAGCCAGCAGCTTGATAGAATAAGGRTCAGACCCACTCAACCTCCAGTGAGGAGGGGGTGAAATATCTTCCACCACAGCTAAACTACCTGAGTCGCTCTTTTTTCCCTCCATGTTTCAATGGTGAAGCCGGGAGCAAAAGAAAATAAGCTGAGCTTGAAGCGCAGAGTGATATATGAAAGTCTGCCTTTATCAAAAACCAAACTGAATGAACTTACTTTAGCAATCTTTTTATGATTTTATATATTTTTTAAACTACAAAGTTGCTGTTTCACGTCATCTTCCATATTCCTTCAGTAATAAATTTGTCGATGTTTGTTCCTGCCAGTGGGGCGTTTCACTCGCTCAGTTTGCCACATGAAGCTGAAACTTCCYGTTCAGGATAAAGGGTGATTCCACCTAATTGTTCACTACCTTATGTGTCTTTAATCTTTAGTTACACCTTAAAATCCATTCTGTGGGAAAGGAATTTTTTTTAAAACAGATAAATACAAACCCAAATAAACACAGGCAAATACTGTACATTATCACTCACTTTTTGTCTGTAGGCAGCATGTGAMAATACAGAAAATTATTGGTGTCAGTTTTACTGATGGAAAAATATAAATTTTACTCAGTTTATTTGGAATAGTGTGAGGACTGTCCCAGTGAATCCACAGAATATTCCTTATATGAGTCTCTGTGTGTTTGTGCTCTGCTGTCCTCCACAACAAAGGCGGGCCTTCCATGCCCGTCATGCACCCGAAGAGGAGCCCGACCAGTACAGGTGATCGTGAGCTGCGGGAGGGCCGAATGCCTTCACGTAAAGCCAGCTGCAGTGTGATGGGGAGCCACAGCCTGCCTCCCTCCAGCCCAATGGTCAGCAGTGCCAACAACCCCAACAAGTCAGAGATCCCTGACCGCCGCAAAGACATGACTGCCACCACGGTTAGTGACCAGCATGTGTCTGACGACATGGAATGTAAACCTCACAACAAGCTGGTGCCAGAGCCTTTGATTAGTTTGGGCACTGGTTTGGATGATCCCACATAAAGGAAAAATACCAAAAAGATAGCTTGAAACAGTTAAATGTAGTCATTCTAGACCTATTCTTTTGAATTAAAGTAGTTCTGCTATATCTATTTACATCAAACTGTAAGCAATAAGATTTTTTAAAGATAAAACAAGACAAGAGGACATAAAAGTTGTTTATTAGATTTATAGTAAAGGTGATAAAATGAGATACATAAAATTACTAAATAAAAGGTAAAAATGATCAAGTTAAAAGTAAATGGGATAAGAGAAGGGTTAGGGTTAGGTTAGACTAGATGTAAAGGTGGGAGACTAGATGTAAAGGTGACAGGACTAGGACCATGTAACAGCATGGGAATAAATATGATTAAAACGAAATGTAAAGGTGAGTACCGTAAATGAGATGTAACAGTGATATGTGATAGATGTGAATAATAATAAGAATAAATGTGACGGTAYTGACATGAGAGGTGAACCTACAGGGGGAAAGATATAATGGTTATGAGAGAGAATATAAGGATGATGAAGTGTGAAGGTGATGGATGAGATGTAAAGGTGTTATGATAAGTTTTGAAGGGGATGAAGTGAGATATGAAGCTGACATGATTGAATMCAAAGMTTATGAGACTAGATATAAAAGTGATGCAATGAAATGTAAAGATGTAAAGTTGATGCAATAAGTTGTAAGGTGATAAAAATAGATTAAATGTGATGTGACTAGATGCAAAGCTGATGCAAAAGGTTTAAAGCTAATGAGACTAGAAGTAAAGGTGATAAAACTAGATGTATAAGTGATGAGACTAGTTGTAAAGGCAATGGGCCTCATGCAAGAACATGTTCGTATTTTTATCCTAAATTTCTCTTACTTTTGTTCGTACGAAGGGTTCGTAC